GAACACAAAAGTACTGAGTAAAAGTAACAAATTACTTTCTCTAGCAACTCATTCGGTAGATGATGCATTACTTTTGATAAAAGTACTAGTAGTAATAGATTACTTTTTGTACTAATGACCCCAGTAGCAGTGGCACCCATGATTGTGCCTGACACGCGTGTGATAGTGTTGCACTGATTGGTGGGAGTTGTGTGTTTGCAGCAGTGCAAACAGGAGCTTGTTCATAATGAATTCAGCTAACTTTTAATGCCTGCTTGGCTTCCTCTGCGGAGGCTGTCAGCCTCAGAAAGCCTCGGCTCTAAAAGGGCCCTGCACGCTCTCCTGCGCTTCTACGTGCTCGTGTGTGAAGCTAACGCGGTGGGAAGCAGGACCGGTGTTTTTCAGAGTGTGCTCCAGAGACGGAGCGTGTGAGCGCAGCATTAAACGGGAGGTTTAGCCCCGTCGGCGGCGCTATAGATTCAAACACGTGCGTGGAAGTAGGTCAGTAGTGAAAGGGTTCACTGCTGTCCTCGCACGGCCTCTGCTCGGCCCGTCACACCACACCACTCGCGTCGACTCTAATTTTCTCTTCCTCGCCCCTCCTCCTCCCACTGCCCCCTTCCTCCTCCCCCTTCATCCCTTTCTCTCTGCCCCGATTAGGAGCAGGTCCCACCCCTGGTTCAGACGGGTCTCCTGTAGGTTAACTCTTCCCGCTCCGAGTGAACTTTCATCTCCCTGCGAGGTTCCTCCTCGGCGGTCGGCTCGTGTTTTCACCGCGGCCTCTGCCAGACCATGTGCGGCGTGTAACTGGTGTTTTTGAGGGAGACCCGACGCCACAAAATGGGGCCAAGCTCGGCGCTGTGAAGGCAGGACATGAATCAGCCTTTTCTCCCCGAAGCTCGAGTTAAAAGCAGAGGCCAAAATAATCTGGGAAATTAAGGAGAGAGGGAAACGGAGCCAGTGAACTTCCAGGAAGGCTGGATAAAACCCAGATCTGTGAACAAATGGTGTATTACCCAACCCGGCCAGCTTTACATGATTTACAGTAGAGGTTAGAGAGGGGCGGGTGGCTGAGCTCACACTGCCATCTGCTGGAAAGCAGCGGCAGCGCGAGGACAAGCCCCCCTTTAACCACACAGACGAGCCAAAATGCCCCATCATGGCTCCCAAAAATGTGGCACAAATTCACACCGAACCCGGAGCGAGTGTAAGCAAAGATGTTTTCTGAAAGGCGCTGAAACGCCGAGCGATGAGGGTTAACGCGAAGATGTAGAGGCGAATACAGTGGTTTGAATATCTGGAGGAGAACAGCGTGTTCCCAGGACTGGTTCGGCTGGTTTCTATGGTGCTGATGGTTTCTATGGTGGCGGTGTTTTTGGTGGCGGCGCTGAATACCTCGAATAATTGAGGCGGTTCAGCGAGGAGGGAAAACAGCGCCGCGAGTTAAAGAAGGAACAATGAGAGAACGCTGGAAATGAATCTTTTTAGACGCAGACACAGATATCGTAAAGCTCAAAATATACACGTGTGCTCGCAACGGTCACTTAACCGACGGTCAACACATATCTAATCCGCCAATCACATGACAGCAACTAATTTACTGGGATTAGAGTGTACAATATCCAGACCCCGTTACAACCGAGGCCTGCAAGAGCATCTCTCCGTGCACCACGTGTCCAAGATGGAAGCGGATGAGCTACAGCAGGAGAAGACCACACCGGTGACGCTCCTGTCGGCTCAGAGCAGGAAACTGAGGCTACAGCTCATACAGACTTAAAACTGGACACAGACCAGCGGGAAACACTGCCCGGCTGCTTCCGAAAGGACAACACACCACGTCATAAAGCTCCAGTCATCTCCAGCTGGTAACACTGGGAATCACCAAAAACCCACCGGTGGCCACCAGCACACTTCAGCCTGTGTCAGTTTGATCTGTCCAAACCTCACGAACATTAAAAAGTGCCGGTTTGGGGGAGCGTCTGTAACGCTGGAGCGCACGGTATCAAGAATCAGCCTCAGACCACAGCAGCTACAAGGACCAGGAGAGCTGCTGCATCATGTGACTCCACAGTAGAAAAAAATCAGCTGACTCTGAGGAGGGGGTCAGGTGAGACCTCCAGGGCCGACGAGCACGTCGTTAATCTGAAACGAACGCCTCGGTGTTGTCCTGCTGAAGTCTCTACATCAGTCACTCTGAGCGGTCACAGCAGCGCCGGTGCCAGTGCGACACCTGCTGGTGGTTTCAGGAATTTAAGAGAAATCCAGCAGCCTCACATGTTACTGCTGATTGCACATCTGCATGTGTTTCCACCAGAGTTTAGAGGATGTTTCATTAAAGGTGGTCTGATAAACCTGAGCTGCTCAGCCCGCGGTTCACGTCTGCAGGCTTCAGCTCACCGACTCCTTCCTGTTTCACAGCAGAACAAAACTAAAGAGAAAAACCTGAAATAAGATCAGAACGCCTTTCAGGGAGCGATGCCTCGACGTCCCTTGGGCAGGTCGATCCTGAGCCTCGGGGGCTCCACCTCCAACAGCCCCGCCTTCAGGTTTCAGCCTCCAGCCGTGCGTTACGGTGACATCAGCGAGGCCACGAAGGACCTTCAGAAGCACCAGTGCGGTTTTAAATGAGCCGGTGTGAAAACACCCAAACCCAGAGTTTGTTTTTTAGTGGTTATGAGAGAGAAACAACAAAGCTGTGTGTGTCTGTAAATGTTACAACAGGTCTTAGTTGTAACATCTGATAAAAACATGACGTCAAAATGTAGCGTTCGTCTTTATTTTAGGGTCTTTATGTCCTCATCGGGCCGAGGAGCCAACACTGCGCCCGAGACACCGAGGTGGCCCGCGGGCCGGAGTAAAGATGCTGAAAGACCGGAGTTTGCCATCTATTGTAAATGATTTCTAAAAAACATCAAATGTTTGAAGAATTTATGGAGAAAAACTCCTTTTTTAAATTTAAAGGTAAATTACAGCAGTTACAGTTTCAGACATAATTTGAGAACAATATCTGAAAATGCAGTTAAATAAAACTACACTAAAAACTAAAAGTGCAGTAAGATGCTGTCAGTAAACATGAGCATCCAGGACCCACCGGCCAGCGGGAAACACTGCCCGGCTGTGTTTTTCCTTTTTTATTCCTCGTTTCCGCTAAATTTGCCGGTTTTTTAACCTTCAGTAACACCAACACGCTGTCGGTTTTATTTACTCGAGACATTTTTTTGATCGTTTACAGGCACAAAATCCTGATTTTACAAAGACTCGACTGTATTTGGAACATGAAGATAAAACGCGTTCACACAAACATAAACCAGGAAAACAAACTAGTTTTTTCACTTTTTATTTTTTGCTTGCAGACAAAAAAAGATCCATGAAAGTCCAGATATAATAAATAAATTAACTACTAAAAACCGTCGACTATTAAAGCGATTTAAAGAAGAGGACGAGTGGTTGAAAGGTTACAGAGAAGATTTTACTGCCCACCTCCACCTGCTGATTGTTCCTTGATGGTTGCATATCCTATCAGAGACCTACGAGGTTCCCTCACCACAGGAAGAGCACAGAAAAGCAAAATAAAAGCTTTTTCCCCCCATATGAAAAGTTAAAAAGCTCCTGTAAGAACTGAGCCTGGTGGTTTATTGTCCCTAAAATATCGTCTTTAATTCGAGGAAACCTGAAAGATCTCATTTAACTAGTTCACCCGTATTTGAGCTAATAAACGCAGTAATAACTATGTCTTCTTCTGCTGTTCCTCTTTGAAGCGATTCGCTGCCTTTGGAGGCGAACGCCGTCTGAAAGACATAATTATTTTCATGCATACAGTAAAGGAGAAACCTGTTGTCGAGTGTAAATGTCACAATCTTGCCGAGTTTGTAGCTTAGCCGACTGAGGTAAAGTTGCCTGTTTCCTGAAGTAGAGCGCACCTGCCTGTGTGTGTTTGCTTTTTGGACGAGGAGACGGCGCTCGGGTTCAAACGTCTCTCAACTTCATCGGTTTGTGAAGTTCAGATTATTTTTTTTAAAAACCCAGAAAAAAATAATCCGAGCAGCGTTAAAGGAAAAATCCACTTCCATCTGAACGTTTAGTTTTTGCTCTGTGACACGTCCGGTGATGTCCCAGCTGTTTACCTGTTACCTCTCCAGTGTGTCCTGGCCAGCCCTGGGATCTCCTCCTGATTGGACACATCTCTGATAGGTGTTCGGGAGTCCAAGCCTATTTTCAGGGTGGTCAGGAGGCGACCGACCTGCGGTCACCACTCGCAGCCCGTCAGCAGGGGTCAGGGAACGCAGAGCATCTGGAAAACTGACAGACAAGCTGTCCCGTTCCTGCAGACAAACTTGGAGCGGCTTCTCACTCCCAGCCCGGAGTGTCGGGAATATTTGAGAACCGATTCTGAACCCAGCTGACCTGCGGCTGAAGACCAACCCAGTGGACCAACCCTGAGGTGGAGGCCATCGCTCAGCCCAGATCTTCCGTCCACTGAAGGGAACAAACCAAGCTCGCACTGCAGCCCTGGAGGCCCCACCCCCACCACAGGAGCTGGAGCAGCGCTCTGTAACCAGGATCAAACGGGATCGCTCCTCTAGCATCCTGGGATCTATGAGCGAGACCCACCTGAGGCTGAAACCCTCTGGACCAGCATCCGTCGAACACCATCTGTGGATGCTGGTGGTGTGAGCGGTGCAGTCGTGATGCAGGTAGTTTGATTAGAAGCTTCAAACCAGCAGTTAAAAGTTTCCATCGGCACAGACGAGTAAACAACAGCGAGAATCAAAAATCTGTTTATGTCGAGGCGTGCTCGTCTGTGGTTACCCTGCAGAGGGTAAAACTGAGCACGCTCTGAGTTTTAAAGTGGATTTTCCCGTTAACGGTGCGTCACGTGTTCTCTGGTTGTTTTGGTTCAAACTGAAATGATGTTGAAACTGAACCCGAACGCCTGAAAACAGATTCAGCTTCCATTATATGTTTTATGTTGTTCAGACTTTAAGAAATCACCTGGAAAAATACAAAAAGTCGGCTTTGGGTCTCTTTCCAGCGTTGCGTTTGTCTTTATTTAAACAATCGTAGAAACAGAATGGCACTGATCCGACTTATCGGAGCGGTTTTAAAAACCTCGTCTTCAGAGGAGCCGAGTGTTTCCGGGCCGGAGGACGATCCCTCCGGAAAAAACGTCCGGCGGTTCCTCTGTTATTCTGAAAAAAGTCCTTTTAATAAAGAGAAAACCATGCGAGGTCTGACCTCTGAGAAATGTCCTGGACTTCTGTCTTTATACAAACGCTGATTTCTTTTTAGTTCTGTATGAAAATGTGATTAAAAGTCGCTGTCAGAGTAAAAGCTTGTTGTTTGTACAGGAGCAGAGTTGAATCGCAGCGCCGTTCGGTCCCCGGCAGACTAAATCCACACGCTCCGTCCTCCATCGCGGCGATTCTCAGCTGCACCGCGACCCAAAGCCTCCGAGGCTCCAACTCATCGCTCGACAAGCGAATGTCCATCTGACCTTACCGCGGCCATCTTTGGGTCCCGAACCACCAACTGAGAAACACCACATCCTCTGTCATCTCTGCGCGGGGGGAGCAACGATAAACCTGAGGAAGGACAGGTGGGGAGAAGAGAGGCGGGTAACTACGGAGAAACACGCCGGTTCATTCAGGATTCATCTTGTTATCCCAACAGCGTCACATGGAGGTAACTCAGGAAGTCAGCCCCGGGTTTGGTGAGATGGCTAACAGCACCTTCACCCGAGGCCAAGTTTGCAGCATCTGACCAATCAGAATCATGGACGTGCCTACGGTGCACTGACTACAGGGACCCACAGGAGGGTCAGCGCTGTACACACTGACTGTGCACTGCCT